CTGATACCATTAGTGGCTTCACATAACATCCTGGCCTCTGTTTATTATTATCACATTATTGTATTGATATTACATTATTACTACTTTCTGTCCTTCTCTCATTAGTCTATGGTGTTGACCTTACCACACTCCTCAGGGTCTACAGTACAAAGATACCAATTGTTGTGAAGCACTGCATTGAGGAGCTGGAGAGTAGAGGTAGGGGAGAGGAGGACAAGGAGAATATTTTATGTCATTATGATGTTGTTTTTGTTTCTAAAGGTCTTGGGATTGAAGGGATATACAGAATACCTGGGAAAGCCATGGAAATTCTGGAAATAAAGAAACAATTTGATAGTGGTGAGTAGAGAGGAGAGAGAGAGAGAGAGAGAGAGATACAATGTACATGTAATAGTAGGATACATACTTACATATAAGGAAGGTAACATCACAAGGAAATGAAATTATATTATTTGTTACAAGTCAACATTTGGGCATAGTTTTTGTAATTTCTCCAGCAATAATAAGCATAATAATAATATTATTGTACCAATTATAAACATGCACACACAAGCTGTCTCTGTATCACTCTATCTCACAGCCTAATAAGGACCCGGTTGTGTGTGTGTGCACTCCATACAAAAACACACAGTACACATAAGCACAGTCATGAATCATAAGTTCACACATCAATATATTATATTTATATTTTTATAGAAATAAACGTTAATCTGGGCTCCTATGAAGACCCTCATGCCATTGCTGGTGCCCTCAAGCTTTATTTCCGAGAGCTCCCCATCCCTCTCATACCTTTTGACAGCTTTGACCTTGTACTCATTGCAGCCAGTAAGTCCTTACTAGTGATAATAGGACCTATAATGGGTCTCAATGCAACATGTTAAATACTGTATTGTGTAATGAAGCAGTACACAAAAAAATTACTAAATACACTCCTTTTCTTTTTCTTTCAAAGGATGTGCTACTCAGGAGGAGACACTAGAGACTGTTCGTGTGATACTGACTAGGATACCTCCTCCCCATTATAACACACTCAAATTCTTAATGAAACATCTCTACAAGTGAGGAATAGCAATCACACACTTTACTATTTGCTAATAAAATTGTTATGTGTATATATTAGAAGTGTGAACAAGCCTGCACACTATTAGATATTGAATTGTTATGCTTATAAGGAATTATTTATTAATAATGAATCCTTATCTCTCCACAGTGTACAGAGGGAGAGTAAGAAGAATAGGATGGACTCTAAAAATCTAGCAGTTGTGTTTGCTCCATCTCTAATGAGACCACCAGCCAATGCCGACCAACTCACGGCAATGATAAAGCTACCGGAACAAAAGAAAATCACAGAACTTCTCATCTCTCATTACGACGTTCTCTTCCCAGCGTTGTATTAGTTATTAGTGTGATTAGGACTCTGTTTTTTTTAAACCTCATGCCTCCATTTATTCCTCTCCCTCTTGTGAATTCTACGAATACATGAGTATATAGTACTACAGTGTATCTCTCTCTCTCTCCTCATTCTTTTGTACTATCATTTATTGTGAGTCTTCTGTTGATCTATCTGTTTGTGATTGTGTGTTAACATTATGTCTTTTCTTTCTTTCTCTCTCTGTGTTCCATATATTATATACAAATCCTGTACAATAATAATAATAATAATAATTTATTGGTAAATTATTGAAATATAAATTATAATATAAAAGAACTGATTCAGTTTATTGTATGTACTTCGAGAGATATACATATATATAACTTTTATTAATATTCTGCCATCATTATCATACTGTTGACAGTCGACCCGACCTGTTCCCTTGAAAACAGTTTTGAATACAGCGCCCGACCTTTCTCCTACACTGAATAATCTTAAGGACAATAGATTGATAATTAGGGGAGGCTAATTAGTGGAAGATTTACCTTTCCATAAAACACTGAAAAGAGACATACTAGGACCAGCGCAACACATATTAACTGTAGGAGTACTTGCATGATTCGTCTATTTTGTAACCTTTAAATAATAACAAAAATAATCTCATCCAATGATGGGCTATTTAGGCTATCGCCGTCTTATTTTGTGTCTTTAACTGTTGTTATATTAACAACGATATCTTTCTATGAGTTATTAGTGTATCTTTCTCAGTATTTTCTTTTGTCTATCTCTCCCTTTCATCATGTTTATTTTTGAAAAACTTGCCCCTTACCAGTACTATCCCTCCTCTTCTCTCCCTCACTCCTTCTCACGACACCCTAAATAACCCCCCCCCACTCTCACCACTCTTCCAGGTCCTCCACATAAAGGAACCTGTTCCTATAGTTTGCTGGTAGCTCAAACTGTGACTGTATTGGAAAGTATGACTCGTAAAAGTCCTGCAAAATGAGGGCAGCCATTCTGCTGTCCTCCGACGTGTGGTCCAAATTATCATTTAGACAAATGAATTTCTTCTGAGACTTTCGGACTTCATCTAATTTTGACAATACCTACAAAATTATTCAAAATATTTTGATGACTTGACTAAGATAAGGTGAATTATAGTGATGTGGCAAAATGGGATGCACTTACGACTGTGCTGTTGTGATGTAGCATTTTAAAATTAACGTCGTGTTCTCCATCTAATTCAACATACCTGTGGGATTGGGTATACAATAAAACACATGTAATAATAACATAGTGACATGGACTGACTTGAATCTGTTTTTTGATCCATATGTTTTATTGATCATCTTCACGAGCTCAGTACAATTAGCAACAAACTCTAAAGTTAGGAGGGGCTATAAAAGGAGAGAGAGGGAGAGAGAAACACACATGCTTAAACTCAGAAACTAATACTATTACTATTACCAAGTTGGGATCATAGTGAGTCTCATACTCCAGTGGATCAACTGACGGCAAACTATGATTATACTTCAAAGCACAATCCTTTAAAACTCCCTCGAAATCATCAATGACACTAGCAGTCAGTGGAACGCCTTTCAACCTAACCAAGAGCGTCCTCAGCTCCCTCACTGACAATATACTACGAAAATAAAACAATTATCAATATAAGATTCACCTTTAATTACTTACATTGACATATCTATACATGTACATGTATGTACTACAGTAATCATCATACCCTTGTATTAAACAGTATCTTATTACTGTACTACATAAATTTGTATCACAACTACATGTACATGTACATGTACCTAGGCATGCCATATACAGTGGGTTTTGCATGGACAACAAAAACTAACAAATTTGTACATATTCATTAACAGGACACACCAACACGATGACACAAAATATATCAAAACATTACAAAATAATAACAAAGAATTAATTCCCACATGTAATAATTGTGTGTACAGATTCCCACATGTAATAATTATGTGTACATGTACATGTACAACGAAAGTCTCCGTCCCCTAATATGACAATAATCTAATTTCGTGTCTATCTCTGAATGGTATCCTCTGAATGGGTGGATGCTGTTTAGGGCCTGGTGGTGATTATAATTAAGAGTTAACCCAAACACTTAGAGGGTGAGACAGAGCTCCATGCAGTTCAAAGACAAGAAGCAATTAAATATATAGAGTAAGCTCTTCAGTTGGACTAAGCATACTGAAACGGTTTTGTTACAAACTTAATACGTACATGTACATGTATCTATAAGTCTACTGGTAAGATTATACTGTATCCATTTCATTATGCATGTACTACACTGGTTAATAATGATATGGTATACCCGGATTTATCAGTGTCCATTTCATTGAATATGGTGGATACTGGAATGACGGTTTTCTCTCCGATGAGGTAGTAGAAGTAAGAGAAGGAGTATTGCATGTCTTCCTTGTTTCTTAGTCTGTGAGAAGAGGTCTTGTCAAATTGTTCAGAATACCTATAAATAATAATAAATAATAATGTTATTATTATTAATTTAATTGTAGGAGCATTACTATAAGCTGTTATAACAATTAATGACAAAATAATTTCATTTGCTAGGCTATAATAATATTATTATTATTAATCATATTTTAAAAAGGTTATAATAATAATAATATCAATACTAATTACATGTAATTATGATAGTGACAGTAAATGCCAGTCACATTGAGTATCTACAGGAAGTCATTAAATGGTCACTATAATAATGTACTGAGGGAAAATATGACAAAGAATTTTCCTAATTAGATACGGTAGGTTAAGGAAACAGCATGCCACAGCTAATAAAAGACAACCTTTTCTTACACGATTTGATATCAAAATTTTACATCACAGACTAACTTTGCCTGTAGCTCTGTCATTATTTCTTTATTGATCATGTGCGGCATGTGGGCAGGTACCTTGCGAGCTTCCCGCCCGTACTCCCTCGTGTAAAGAAGGTTTACGTAGCGCAGCGACTCGGCAAAAGTATCGAGAAGTCTCCGCCTCTTTTGGGGGGACATCTGGTAGAGTGATGACTCTTCCGAGACGGGGAAAACCCCATAGCGTTCCCACGGCAACCAGCTAGAGGGGAAGTTAGACTCGCTGAGGAGACGACGGGTTTTATGTGAGAGCTCACTACGCGTGTGGGTGGGGTGACTGTAATAAGTGTTACTATTTTTAGTAACATGCGAGCTAATTTTAGACTCGGTGTGAACCTGTCCATCAGCTCCTAGTTGCACAGTATAGGAGTGGACACAAGGAAGGTGGGAGTAAGGTTGAAGGAGGGTCGATTTCTTTTTGAGGAATCCTCTCCGAGTTAGGTCACCATCAGTCCACTCTTGCTCTAACTGACTGTACGCACTGGCGACTGAGGGAGGGAGGAGGGTGAGGTTAGTGACTGTGTAATTAGTGAGGGTTGAGACACTGGGAGGAGTAGGAATATGAGTCATTGTGGGCCTGGAATAGAGAGAGAGAGAGAGAGAGAGAGAGAGAGAGAGAGGGAGGGGGAAAGAGAGAAAGAGAAAGGTTTAGAGTAGGAGAAAATAGTAAGAGATAAATGTCAATAATATGATGACGATCAATACCTTTCAGTAAACCAGGATCCAATCCTTTTATCATGATCCATTATCCTCACAGACACCTCGTGCATAAACTAACCAAAAAAATAATTAATTAAATGATTAATTTTATTATTTTTATTACGCTTGGTTGAGTGACATTATTATAATGAGGAAAGCTCCACTTCCCGTAAGATTTATCTTTCAATAATGAAGAGAAGTTAACTGTCTTAGTGTCAGCAACGACTATGAACTCAACCTGAGGAGACATAAAAGTGTGTGGTCAGAATTGGCGTGGCCATAACTCACAGATATCTCTGTTTCTTTGACTTTGCTCTTGATTATAAAGTGGGAGGAGTTTCGTGAGACATTGGATGAAAAAGTTAGCGATAAGATTTTGAATTTTTGAGCAACGATGGCAGTCCTTATGATTGGGGAGGGAGTGTGGGTAGCCGCAGTGATGGAGCGGTTATAAAATATGGAGGAGAGATTGAAATACACTGCTTGTGTTTCTAAACAAATGGACACAACAATGTGCAATAATACATCACTAAAAAAGCAGGGTTTTCAAAAAGCACCCTGAATAGCATGCTTTATACCCAAGGCTATAGCCCATGGTTTTTTTCAAAAAATGGCTCCAAAATGACCCCAAATTTTTATTACATTTTCTGATACATATTGACGTCCTTATGCTGTGTAGAAAGTTTGAGCTGATTCCGACTTCAATTCTTCAAGTTACGGCCATTTTAAGAAAATGTCAAAATTCTGAAAAATACCCAAGGCTATAGCCCATGGTTTTTTTCCGAAAAATGGCTAAAAAATCACCTCAAATTTTTATTACATTTTCTGATACATATTGATGTTCTTATGCTGTGTAGAAAGTTTGAGCTGATTCCGATAAGAAATTTTTGAGTTATGACCATTTTTTAAAAATGGCCAATTTTTAAAAAATACCCAAGGCTATAGCCCATGGTTTTTTCTGAAAAATGGCTCCAAAATCACCCCAAATTTTTATTACATTTTCTGATACATATTGACGTCCTTATGCTGTGTAGAAAGTTTGAGCTGATTCCGACTTCAATTCTTCAAGTTATGGCCATTTTAAGAAAATGTCAAAATTCTGAAAATTACCCAAGGCTATAGCCCATGGTTTTTTTCAAAAAATGGCTCCGAAATCACCTCAAAAATTTTTTATCGGAATCGGCTCAAACTTTCTACACAGCATAAGGACATCAATATGTATCAGAAAGTGTAATAAAAATTTGAGTTATGACCATTTTTTAAATGGCCAATTTTTAACAAATACCAAAGGCTATAGCCCATGGTTTTTTCCGAAAAATGGCTCCGAAATTGCCACAAATTTTTATTTCATTTTTGATACATGCTCAAACTTTTTATGCAGCACAAAAACATATCAGAAAAATTATGGAAATTGAGAATTCTCTCCTAGTCATTTTGGCGAAATCAAATACATGTGTATTTTGTCTGGCTTTTATTACATTATCAATTTCCCAATTAAAACAAGAGCCAATGATATTATCCACTGACCACACAAAAGCCAACAATGATGACATAATAATACAATAATAGATAATACAATATAGTAAATAATATGATTAAAAAAGTATTACCAAGTGGTATAACAAAGACGGGCGGAGTAGATGACGAGGTGTTTGTCACACTAACCGAATAAATCTCATTTAGTTGGTCAATGCCACAATCCCCAGCATCATAGCCACACTTGAAGACATTGCAGGAATTGTCGCAATACCTATCGCCAATCCATGTGTTTAAACAACCTAAGAAAAAAGATAAAGATAGAAAATGTACGTTCTCACCCTCTCACTCTCTCTCTCCCCTCTTTACCTGAGCTGCAATAGTCACTAGTTCTACGATAAGTGCCCCATGATCTGGAGCCGACTGGGCCAGGTCTGGTAGCATTAATGCAATCACCTCCATCCCAATCACAGGAAGATACATTACAGGCTGTGTCACAATATTTATCTCTGATCCAATTACTAGGACAGCCTTCGGCACAATTGGGTACAGACCAACTTAGAAAAATCTAAAGAAGAAAGAGAAAGAAAGAGGAAGAGGGAGAGAGAGAGAGAAAGAGGGAGAGAGAGAGGGGGGAGGGAGGGAAGGAGGGAGGGAGGGAAGGAGAGAGAGAGAGAGAGAGAAAGAGAGAAGAATATAATGATTACAATAAAGTATAGTTAAGTAGTGGATGGTTATTATTAGGTGTTGTATTGGCTTACTCTTTGCCCTCCTTCTGGAGTAAAGAAATCGTGAGGCCAAATATCATTACCAAACATAACATCATCATTGAGATACAAGAAATACCTAAAGAGAGAGGGGAGAGAGGGGAGAGAGAGAGGGGGATAGGGAGATAAGAATTAAGAGAGAAGTAAAGACTGTCTACAATACTTGCTTAGTCCTGGTATTCTGTGCAAATGGCTCTCAATAGCAGGAGAACTATAGCAAGGCAAATGAGACTTGTTTACAAAAATATCCTAAAAATATCACATTACATCAAATATCATATTAATACAATTAAATATTATATTAAATATTTAGAACCCCATAGTGCTCACTCACTTGATGAGTGACTACTGATATTCTTGGATTATCAAGATTAAGCCAGTGAGGTATCTGCCCATTAGTTACAATATAAATACGTCTTATCCAGGGAGCATAGCGCTCCACTGATCTTAAAGAATAACGCAATTCCTAAAGAAAAAAGGAGAGACACGTTGAAAAATTACAAAAATTGAAAAACTACATGCATAAATAAGGACATACTTCGTTGTCTTGGAATCTATTTGATGAAATAATATCATTCTTTGTCTCCTTCTCCTAATAAAAGAGAGCATAAATATGACACTGTGATGCAATACAGGCGTAACTATATTAAATTTAATTTTATATTTAGGAATTAAGAACTATGTAATAATGCTAAATGCTATATTTAGTAACAAGTATGGTGGATTCTATATTTAGAAAGAACTTACTTCTGGTGTCATTGGTAGCCATATTGCATGAGGTAAGTGAAACAACAGTGTCTCATTCATAAATGTAGCGTTTAGGCTATGTAGAAGCCTTCCCACATCGAACTTTTGAATAAAAGCCACACCAATACTGCGAATAGGTATCTCCAACTAAAGGAGACATAAGATATCATAAGGTTAGAATATGCATGTACCTCTGTTATCAATCCAATGTTTAATGAGTGAAGAGTTGATGTTATTAATTCTTTGATGGTTAAGTTGTTAGGGAAGAGATGGGGAGAGGAAAACATTAAAGACTGGTTGATTGCTACACCACTCACTAACAATGGGTCAGAAGACTATAATAATATATAAAGATAAAGCAATAGAGGGCAAGAGAAGATAGAGAATGGTAAATTTTATACTTGGAATGTTATTTTACCAAGAAGCCTCTTGTTATAGAGACAATGTGCCCATCATAAGAAGTCAGTGATGAATTAAGTAAGTACGATGATACTAAAGAAGAGAAAGAGAGAGAGGTTTAGTTTTGATTCATAAATACTAAGTAAAAATTTGAATATAATTAACTAGTACATGTACAACACTATGCAAAAAACATCTTAAATGCACACACATCTCTCTCTCACTTTATGCATAAATAAATTAATAAATAAATAATAAAAAGAAGTACCTCTATCTTCTGTTGGCATCCTAACAGCATAAACAGGTGGAGCATGGCCCCCGGTAGTATTGAGATAATAAATATTTAATATGTCGCTCGGATGTATGCTTGGAAACTCTTGAGAGAAGGAAGAGAGAGAGAGTGAGGAGGAGAGGTTGGTAGCATCAACTATCAGTGACTTCCATGGGATGCAGTGCTTGAATGGACACTGTGTTGGGGTGGGAGTCGCCACTCTAAAAAGAAATGAGATATATTTAAAATGTAGAAATAAAAAACAGCATTGCAAGAATATCAATAAATTAGCCCAAAGACTCATTAACTTATTTGTTACTGTTATTTTAGTAGTACTTGTGTGGGTTGCTGTCATATGTCACACATACCAATTGTGCTTTATAAGGTATGGACGACATTTCTTTGTTCCAATTATAATGAAATTATCAATATAAATACGTATTATATATACGTAGTACGTGGTATTTCATTATAGTGTGATCAATTGCTTTGGATAATGAGTAAGGGGAAGACTAATAGTAGTAAAACTAATAAAACAACATGAAAGTACAACAAAATATCAGTGCATCATCTCTACACAATCGTAATAATAATTATTTAACATAAATTTCATAAAATGCAACAGGGTTGTCCTCATTGTATGTATCCTGATCTCCACAGACTCTCATCTCAAGATAATCGTTAAAGGACTGCGTAGCATAGTCCCTGTGGAACCAAGGAAGACCAGCCACTCCACAGCAATTACCTTCCAGAGATCCACAACCCTGCCCGTCCCACAATGGGTCGGACAAATAGAGTGATGATGACCAGCCAGTGGTAGGATTACCAGACTCACAGAAGTAGTTAGTACCAATGAAAGAAGGAATGGCTTTAGTTGCACCCCCACAAGGACAGTTATGAATTACATCAGGATGACTCTCGTACAGTCCAGCCATTAGCGTCCAGACATGTTGACGAGGAGACCCACGAGTGATACTAACACCATCAACATAATAAGAATTAATGTTAGTAGTTGATACGCCAATGGCATTAGTTGAGCCAAACTGGTATCCCAATACTTGGCCACATATCTGGGAGTATCTCAGCCCATTAGATGGGTACTGAACTGATACACAGCTACCAACGCTTGATACTGGTCTACCACAAGCTCTGACACTTCCTGACTGGTACAGTCTAAACCCAGAAGGACAGCTCTGTGTAGAGTCACTCATATCCAGATATGCTAGTCTTGTCCATCCTCCTCCTGAACCACACAGCTGGCCCATGTTACAGTAAGTGTTGTAAGTGCTAGTCCCATCAGTAGCAGCTAATATATACACACCTGATGGACTGTTAGGCTGTTGTTCTTTGATTTGCTTGCAAGATGTAGGGAGAGCAGATGAGTCATTATGTAGCTCCAGTAGTTCTTGTGCTACTAGTAATATACTATCAGCCACTCCAGCAGTAGAGGTCCCAGTGTCTTGTAGATTAGAGAGAGTATTGACAATGTTAACCAGTTTTTGTGCCGAGTTTCCAGTAGTCTCCAATATCTTACCCACGTCCATTGTATTGTTCATGCATTTGTCCGTCTGGATCTCAGCAAAGCTACGAATGTCATCAATTTTCCCTGCAGCATCATCAGATGCATTGACCAATTTGCTCACTTGAGTTTGAAGCACTTTCTTTACAATATTAATATCACTTTGGACCACATCAGACCAATCATTAGGAACTATACTACAGTTAGGAGCTGGCCCAGTAGTACCACTAGTGGCGCCTACACTAGGACAACTGCATGTACAGACTGGAGGCTGAGCATCAGAAGGCTTTGTCACAGCTATTATCTGAAGAACAAGAATAGCCAGGAGAATCAAAAACCCAACCAATATAATACAAGCAAGGCCTATTTTAGCAGGAAGAGGTAGAAAGGGTTTCTGCATCGAAGAATTGACTATATTGTTAACAAAAGGTTCGTATCCTTTGTCCTCATCATATTCCTGCAGCTCATTCACCTCATAAACTTCTTTAGTCTTCTCCATAGCTTAGGAGGATGGGTTTGTGACTGACAGTAAACAAGGCCGGACACACACATTAACAAAGCATTGAATATCAATAGAAGAACTGTCACATGGACATGAATACAATAATAATGAATATTCTACCATACCTACTACATGCAATAACAAAATTCAGAGAGCAAATTGATATAAAATTTTAGAAGGGTCATGTGGCTAAATTTTTGCAACACTGATCAAAGTTCAAGCCGTCTAATTAGAAACTGATATATTACTTTTTAAATGGCTGGAAGAGAATTCTTCATTTTTATTGCATTTTCTAATGGTTCTTGTGTTGCATTATATAGAAAGTTTGGATATTGCAACCAAAATGTTCTAGTTACTGTCATACCTTGTTATATTAGTTGCATTATTGTTCTGTTTCAGTTTCTTTTCCCTAAGCATGGCAATAGCACAATTTCTTAGTATTTATAAAAAAACTTACTCTTCTTCTAACTCAACAACTTCCTGTCTCAGGATTTTAAGTTCTGCAAGCAGACGTGGATCAGACCCATTGACCCATGTATAGACAATATCAATGGGTAAGTCTGGTGTCATACTATGAAAAGAAGAGTGTGATAAAATGATTAGAAAAGCCTTCAAATAAACAAAATACACAACGAAAAAATTAAATAAATAAATATTAATCACTGAAAGATTAAGCTGTTTACCAGTAGTTTGCAGAGATATAATGAGACAATGGTGGCCATTTATGAGAGGATGTAGAATAAAACTTACAATTTCTCGAAAGAGGTGCCAGCAATGTTGTCGTGGTGGATACTAAACTGAGCAGCATATCTCTCTTTACTCCAGGAGAGGAGAACCTGGAGAGAAAAGGAGAGAGAAATAAAGTGGGTGTGGCTGATTAGTCAACATTTCTATCAAAAAACGTCACCTCTCCAAACTGAAATGCCGAGATAGCGAGGAGCAAGAGTCCAAAGATGCAGAGAGGTATTCCCTTCCTTGAAGAGAGCCAGGAGTAGAGCTTTCTTTGTAAAACCTTACTAGCTGGACCCTCCATTGTCAAGAGCTACTTTTTGTACTACACGTGACGGCTATCTCTCAAATTTTGAATCGATCGAAAGGCCAAAATTATGAGCTTTCTCAAAAAATGGGCAGGGTCTAAAATTTAGTTCCTCCGCCCATTTTAATTATCAGCTGCAGACTGCAATCTTGCATGCAGGGAGTGCAGTGCAGACTAGTTTTAACAAAAAATGGCTAATTTTAATCCAAACCCAGCTCCTAGCAGAAGATTCAGTGTTAAGAGGAATATGATAGAGGCCCAGTCTACTAGTAATGAGATGATAGAGCAAAGAGAAATAGGGAACAAAGTGACAAACATAAGACACCTTCAACCACACTTATCCAATACAGTAAGAGCTTACAACGTCATGGCTATTGGCCACTGGCCATTTGCATGACACACCCATTTGTGGGTGTGATCTTTGTTTTATTGTGCCATTATTTACTCTAATATCTATGGTTGTGCATATTAATGATATTATTATTATTATTTATTATTATTATTATCATTATTATTATTATGTGCAATTGTGCATAAGTGGGGTTTATCCAGGATTTTTAGCAATAGAATTTATAAGTGTTATATGATGCATTATGGTTCCGTTATGTGTTAATTAGGCTGTCATTGGACTTGTTATCAATAAACAAGCTATACACTCATTCCCTGACAAGAAAAGTAAGTTGATATTTAATTTATCATAAATATGATTTCTGTTAAGATTATGATCATATTAATATTGAATTATTAGAAACAACAACTTGCTATGTGTAGCCAACTGTTTTAATAATTTTGTCATTAAAAATTTAATTTTAAATCATTCTTACTATTACTAATTTTATTGTTATTATTTTTTAAAATTATTATCATCATCATTACTATCATTATATTATCTTCATTATTATTATTATTATTATTATTATTATTATTATTATTATTATTTATTATCATCATTATTATAGATCCTGGTGCGTACAGATACAAATCAGCATTCACAATACGGGACTCCCCCAGTGACTATATCAATGTAACATGCTGGGGGAGTGAGGCCTACATCAGTAGTCTTTCTTCTTCATTCAAAATATATGACATTAGTAAGATCATCCACTATTATATCAAGCATCAGTGATTCAAGACTTTGATTTGATTATTGCCCTAGCTCCTTGAATTGATAAATATACTAATATTATTTTTATGTTTCTCTTAGTTGAGATCTGCAACTGTCAAGTGGGTAGTAAACCAGTAGGAGACAGCGAAGACAAGTGGAGCCCTTGGACACCAAGGTCCACATACATGTACAATACATGTATAGGCTGTATAGCAATAGCAGTATAAGAGTGTTAGACACTAGGACCAGGGTTTCTGCTAAGCAAGCTAGAATACAGTTGGAGCAACTTCAAAAACTCGTAAAAAATCCAATTTTGATTGGAATCAGTTCAAACTTTCTACACAACATAAGAACATGTATATGCATCAGGAAAAATTGTTAAAAATGGAGAATTTTATCTTTCGTCCAAATACGTTGTAGCCTGTACTATTATGGTACAGGGTCTTTGGCCCAATTTTTAAGCAAATTGACAATCCATTGACACGAAGCTGCGGGAAACCCTGACTAAGAGTCTAGGATGTGTATAATGAGAGAAGAGAGAGTGAGAGTAAAGAGTAGGTGACATATCTCTCTCTCTCCCCTCTCTCTCTCTCCCCACTCTCTCTCTCTCCCCAGTCTCTCTCGCCGCCCCCTGTCTCTGGCTCCCTCTCTCTCTCTTCTCTTTGTTCCTCTCCACAATATACAAATCCCAGTCCCTTTCAACTGACGCTCAGTGAGACTCATTCGTCCGTTTCCCTCTACAATGGAGTCAATCCCGAGCAGTACATGTCATTGGCTCACATCCCTCTACGCTCAACCAGTGATTATTACATACTCAGTGACATTCATGCTCACTGGCAGAACTTGGATGGATCATACATCAACATATTGGCTATTGTTGGCAATGTAAATGAATGATCCACTCGATTATAATGACTCACTCACTTTCATGCATAGTATAGTACTATTGAGCCAGTCTTTCTGCCAGTTTTATTGGCCCTTAGAGTGTAAATCTTGTGTAGTAATTCTTTTTCTGACTACTATTGTATTTTGATACATTGCCTATTTTTATTCTTTTTGTACTGCAGATAGCAAATTACTTTATCATAATAAAGTGTGATTATAATGCATTCTACCATTCTTTGATAGCAGTTTTGTTTTTAATGAGTTATGCCTGCCTGTGTGTGTGTGTAGGTAGGTACTCCGAAGCAATTGATGTCAAAGGCTGGGAAGAACCTAACCAAATGTGAAGTGATTTTGTTTGATGAAGGTTGCAACAGCTTTAGTCTCTTCTTGTAAGTGCATGGCTCACTCTACAGGAGTGAATGACCTATTTCATATTATATACATGTAGGTGGGACTCTGAACTTATTACGCTAGCACAAACGTGGATATCAAAGGAAAACAGTGAGTGGTAGTGATTCTGTGACTTATAATGTGAGGCTGTGTCTTTTAGTTGTATTTGCTGTTGATGTCAAGGTATCGTTTGATTCTTATAAGAATGGGATGACAGGGACTTGTACTAGTAAAACACTCATAACCACTAACCCTGGTCAGTGTAGCATCATGACATTGGCATAATAGCTCTTACATATGACATTTTGATTTATTAATTGTTGTTATACATGTAGATTCACCTCAAGCACATTCTTTGTATCAATATGCCCAAACTGTTGAAATGGATTTTGGTAGCATAAGAGGAGACAGAGACACAACAGATAGTAAGAGAGAGAGAGAGAGGATCAGATTATACTTGATTTATTTGTCTAATACTATAGTTCATGATATACGTGATGTATACACGGTGAAGCAGTTATCAGATTTTAAGTACAACAGTAGGGAAATGAGAATGAAGGGAGGAGGAGGAATAGTTTTTGCTTATTTGATGTCACTCGACATTGATTGTAGCGACCCACAGACCGTCATTAGCTCAAGATGGTCAGTTAGTCATTTAGTACATCCTCTTGATCATCCATTGCCTCTATAAAGGTCACTGTACACTAGGCAAATGCTATTGAAGGGAATCTGTGGTTACTTTGATGTTCAGGCAACAGTGCTGCCTAGAATATAAAGTTGTTCTATTTTAGGCAACACACTGCTTACAATATCAAAGTAAACACAGATTGCAAGCAAGAGAACTGCCTTGTGTATAGTGACCTTTTAACTGTTGCTATTATCAGTTTTTACTTAATAAATAGTTCATCTTGTAAGTTTCGTGTGAGTCAAGATGATGTAGCCTGCTCCAATCAGTCATGTCCCACAATTGTCTCTGGTGACTTTGCTCCTGAAGTGGTGTTTGATCTATTCGTTACATTGGCTGATCATCATGGATCTGTTGATGGCGTGAGACTTAATGGACAGGCTGCCATTGATCTCTTACATATTACAGTAAATATTTAAGATCATAAATAAAAGCTGGTTACAATATTATGCTAGTCCTGGCGTTACATTGAAGCTGGAATAGAATCTGGTTCTATTTTAGCGGAAAGCATGCATCAAAAGGTCAAATTGCCCACACTTTTGATTAAAAATTGACAATACACTGGCCTAACATCATATTGTAAACCAGCTTTTCCTTTTTTATCTCTCTTTTTTTTCTATAGCCGACTGATTTTTTATGTACTGATAATCAGCAGAGAACACTATTGAAAAGCACTTGTCTCTTAGAAAAATACAAAGTGTTCATCAAAGTAACGATACATATGTTCATTGTGCCATTGTTATCCTCCCTGGTTTAGTCCTACAGCTTTGGAGACAATAGCAAGGTGTATTTCAACATATTGAAAATTGAGCGTGCAAGCCCACGAGAGGCCGTTATGCATTTATAAAAATGAGTGAGTGAAGAAGCTAAAAACATTTAAATGCGATATCTTTTAATCCCATGGTGTGTATTATCTATTAAAATGCTCCTATTATATTTGTGTGCTTTCTGTGTTGATATCAAATCTTTTAATCTCATCCTTATACCGATTATAATTATTTACCATTCATTATTATTAGTCCGTTCACTTTATTTATGAATGCTTTATCATTATCAGTATGTTAGTTGACAATTATATTATAGATGCATACTCATTCTGATACTATCATACTGATTGTTAAAGTGCATACGTCAATCAGTGTGTGTATCAAAATGGATTAGCTATAACTGCTATGTAAACATCAAGGAATATAAGATAAAATGCGTCCAGTGTTTGTTTAGCCCTACTTACTTGTGTCAACTTGATAGATTGTCAAAATCTAAACTTTTGAATCCAATCAATCAATGGAATGTTAGTTTGACTGTAAGATCTATGTAGTCATATTACTGGGTGTAGAAATACTACAATAGTGTATGATATGTGAGAAAGAAGTAATTAGATTAACTATCAACTCCTGGTACACACCTACACCATCCTGTCCTACTAGTTTGCTGGGGCAGTTTGCCCAAAAATCATGATGTCATACAGCATCAAAATTATAACGATTGTTTCCTGGTGTCATCACTGTCATGGCAGATCAGCCAGAGAGATTAAAGATCAACCAAGTGTCCAANAGCTATGGATCTGTTCCTGAGAATGATAGACAAGAAGGACAAAGGGCCAAGGACACTCAAGAAGGACATAGTGACAATAGAGCCAAGTCCTCCCTGTGTGAGTATATCACTGATCCACACTACTGGCCTTACCATACCATATTCTTACTGCTACAATGCTATCTCTATTTCTCATTCTATTACTGTGCTGATAATCCAGGTGGGTTAGAAGATACCATCATTAAAGTGATGAATGTTGACACTACGCAATACAGCTTGCTACTTTTTATGTACAGTGCACCAAATGTTATAATCTGCCTCATTGGTGGAGTAATAGTTGATAGAGTATTAGGACACAGACTGAGCCTAATCTTAGTGGTAGCGATGACAACCCTGGGCCAGTTTCTAATGGCCCTTGGGGCATATCTTGGACATTTTTGGCTCATGTTGGTAGGTCGTGTTCTGATTGGAATTGGTGTTGAGATGAATGATGTAATCAATGTAGCATTGGCTTCTAAGAGAAGAAATGTCACGTTAAGGCTATCTCTGTATTACACAGCTGATCGATTAGGTGGTTCATCTGCATTAGGGGCTTCTCAGTACCTTTATGAAAGCTTAAGTTTTGTTACTAACTCTCATTATCGTCTTGGCACTACACTACTAGCTGGGGTGGGGTTAATGATTGTAGCAGGAGCAGTAACTATCATCATTATATTTATGGATATACGAGAAGATGCAATCCTTAAAAGGGAGAAGATGAAAGTTTCAATGATTCGTTGTAGAGACATCAAAAGCTTTTCTTTTCCATTTTGGTTAAGCTTAGCTATGATCAGCATCTATATGCCAGCAGTCTTTACCTACACTACTATTGGACAGGTGTTCTACATACAAAAGTTTGGGCTAAGTTCTGTGGCTTCAGGGATTGCTAATTCAATGGTCTTCTGCTCTACTCTTGTCATATCACCATTGGTAGGTTTCCTTATCAATGCAGTAGGCTACCATTCCTCATGGTCGATATTAGGTGTAGTAACTGCTTTAGCCGCACATATCACTCTACTTGTCAGTGGTCAACAATGGTTCATTCCGTATTTAGCTGGTGTTTTTTATTCGTTTTCTTACACAGTTACAGTCCCTTCACTTTACTGCATTCCTTGTATCTTCATCGAGCCAACACAGACTGCAACAGCCTATGGATTCATACACTGTGCTTATAACCTAGCAATGTCATTACTATCAGTTGTTACTGGCCTCTTGGTTGATTATGCCGGTTACTTTATGCTTGAATTGATGTTTTCATTAATATTGTATGCTAACTTGATAATGTCTATTTATTTATGGTTGAGGTACTCATCCTCTGATCTCAACAAGCTGGATAACAAAGAAAGACGATCAGAATCAAGAACCACTGATACCTAAAGGCATCATTCTAAATATCACTGTTATTTTATAATCATTGCATATCATTTCATTTCTGTTATTTCATCTGGAACAATGCACTATATTCAATGTACACACACAATTGGTCTTTTGTTATGCCTTAATAGTGTTTGGGTGTGAGCCATTCATGCTCTTATTCATTAGTTAATGTTTTAATACTCTTACTAATATACTGAGATTCATGTGTATAGTCTTTGTAGTCAAAGCAGCAACAATGAGCCCACTAATTGCTGTGTGATACTGGCCTTAAAGCAATGCTTTGATGAGTATGTTTTCTTCCTAGGAAGTAGTGGCAGAATCCTTATATATATCACAAGTTATACACCTCATAGCTCATGCATTGTGATATAATGAAAATGCTTATACTTTAGTAATGCTTAATGTAGCAGTGTTATATGCAGGGGAGGACCTTGTACGTAGCACATTGCTTGTTGTTCACACTTAGTAACCAATAAATAATGAAATTTATGATAGTATGTGCATGTGAAGAAGCTTGTTATAAAATTTTATGATAATTATAGTTATATTAGAAGTATTACAGTCTTGTTTTGTATGGCTTGAATTAGCTTCCCATATGTGATACCATAATTGTGCAATTGGCTGATGTATTTGGATGGCAGCTGATAAAACCGGTAACATAAACTGGTAATGGCTAGCCTGTAATTGGATACCATACATATTGGATTTGATGGCATGTGTAGTACATGTGTAAGGAAATGATGTTGTCCAACTAGCTATAGTGGCCTGCCTGACAGCTGGTTTAGTGTATAATGCACAACAACAGCTTCATTCTCCCTTGCCTTTCACTCTCATTCTTTTGGTAGCTATGAAATGATGAATGATGAGGGAGTCAGGATCACAGAGAGCTCTGGTTCTAGGAACTATGGGTCCATAAAGCAAAGTGAGACTGGGAACAAGGAGAGTCAAAAGTCCTCCCTGTGTGAGTATATCACTGATCCACACTACTGGCCTTACCATACCATATTCTTACTGCTACAATGCTATCTCTATTTCTCATTCTATTACTGTTCTGATAATCCAGGTGGGTTAGAAGATACAATCATCCAAGTGATGAATGTTGACACTACACAATACAGCTTACTACTTTTTATGTATAGTGCACCAAATGTTATAATCTGCCTCATTGGTGGAGTAATAGTTGATAGAGTATTAGGACGCAGACTGAGCCTAATCTTAGTGGTAGCAATGACAACCCTGGGCCAGTTTCTAATGGCCCTTGGAGCATATCTTGGACATTTTTGGCTCATGTTGGTAGGTCGTGTTCTGATTGGAGTTGGTGCTGAGATGACTGATGTAATCAATGTAGCATTGGCTTCTAAGAGAAAAAATGTCACGTTACGTCTCTCTCTCTTTTTTACAGCTGCACGCCTTGGAGGTTCATGTACATTAGCTGCTCCGCAATATCTTTATGAAAGCCTAAGTTTTATCACTAACTCTCATTATCGTCTTGGCACTACACTACTAGCTGGGGTTGGGTTAATGATTGTAGCAGCAGCAGTAACTATTATCATTATTTTTATGGATATACGAGAAGATGCAATTCTTAAAAGGGAAAAAATGAAAGTTTCGATGATTCGTTGTAGAGACATCAAAAGCTTTTCTTTCCCATTTTGGCTAAGCTTGGCTATGATCAGCATATATGTTCCAGCAATCTTTACCTACACTACTATTGGAGAGGTATTCTATATACAAAAGTTTGGGCTAAGTCCTGTGGCTTCAGGGGTAGCTGACTCACTTGTCTTCTCAGCAACTATTCTAATAGCACCATTGGTAGGTTTCCTTATTAATGCTGTAGGTTACCATTCCTCATGGTCAATATTAGGTATATTAACTGCTTTGGCTGCACATGTCACTCTACTGGTCAGTGGTCAACAGTGGTTCATTCCCTATGTGGCTGGTGTCATTTACTCTTCTTCATATACAATAACAATGCCTTCATTATACAGCATCCCTTGTATCTTCATCGAGCCAACACAGACTGCAACAGCCTATGGATTCATACACTGTGCTTATAACCTAGCAATGTCATTGCTGTCAGTTGTGACTGGCCTCTTGGTCGATTGTGCTGGTTACTTTATGCTTGAATTGATGTTTTCATTACTTTTGTATGCTAATTTGATAATGTCTATTTATTTATGGTTGAGGTACTCGTCCTCTGATCTCAACAAGCTGGACTGCAAGAAGAATGATACGACAGAGAACACGTGATACCAAGTAACTCAAGACACTTGTTTTATACAAGGCTTTGCATGCCAACCTTTTGCATTATTTGTATAGTGATGCTAATATTTTATTTTTAGCTTTTATTATTATCATTATATCATGTCATATTGACAATAATTTTTATTTATTCATTCATTTATTCATTCGTTCATTCATTTATTCATCCATTCATTCATTTTACATTTCACTTATTTTACTAACTAAATCTAGACATACACATCAAAACTATTCCTATTTTAAGGTTTTTATAATATATATAATACTTATTTCTGTTGTTAGAAATAATATGAATGATTAAAACTTGGCCTGCCTAGCCATAGAAGCTATATAAGGAGATTTTGAGGTAAAGCCTATACCTTTGATAATAGATGCAGTAACATACAACTCATCCTTTGATATCTTCAAAGTAAACCACATGTAATAAGACTTAGCTGCCAGAAAAAATATATTTTCATAAAAATGAACAAAACGTCCTATTATTTGCAAAAATATAATGGCAAAAAACAATAGTGCTATCTTTAATATAATTCTTGAACAATATTTTTCAGTTTCCTTTGAAGTGCATCAGTCATATCAATATTGATATTAGGAAAACTAGTCCCTATGTTATAGGAGTTTCAGTACATAGCTACTAACAATGAATGACATACCATGAAAATAGTGCTGTTTGCAATAGAGAGGGATGTTCTCTGTTCCATATAAAATGCTTAACTATATAAGAAAAGCAAGGGCATATCCAATAATGATACATCAAAAGTCGAGCAAAAGCCAAAAATGTCCTTGTCTTATATGCACAATGCCAAGAATAACAGGAAGCAAAAATAGGGAAAAACACAATGTCATAGAAATAAAGAATGGCCTGCCCATATGATATAATAATAACACTTTACTTCAAAACACTCGTCAGTGGAAAAACTCCTCAAATCACTCTGAACAGCATCTTCAATAAATCTTCTCACTGGTATTATATCAGCTTGTCTTGATGTCCTAAAGCATACAAAAAGAATCAGATAAAACCAATGATCCTAATCCTCACCAGTCAGTGAGAAAATCTTCAACTATATGATGATATGAAGTAGGCTTTGGCATTACTCCAACTTCTCTAACTAATAAATGAGATTTGCAAAAAGTGATACAATCGGTAACTAATATAACTTACACTGAAGAGGCAACCTATTATAGTGGTAGAGGACAGGGTGCAAGAAGTTGCTTGTGTCAGCTTCTACAGGATTACCAGTAGCACGGTTCTCACGCAACACATCTTCACTGTTAAGTGTAACGATCACTAACAATGAATAACTAAATGATGATTGACATACCCTGGGCCAGAGTAATCTATCCCGTATTCAAAATTTAGTATTATTATCTGCTGAGCATCATAACCAGTCAGACCTGTTACAATAAAATATAAATGTACATACATGTATGTGCCATTTCTGTTATACATTAAGTATATAGGCTTGTATAGAGACACGTCTCTCATGCTATTACTAAGAATTTATCTCATTCCAACTCTTGTTTTACTTTTAATATCTCCTAATGATTGAATGGGTACTTCTTCCAGGTATATGACAGTGTCATTATTTTCTAAAAAGAATTAATGTCAACAAAAACCAATTAATGTCAACAACATATTAAACTCAATCACCTATTATCATCAGGTCTCCAAGAACATTAAACATCTGATACAAACCCTAAGCAAAAGAGAGAAGAGAGAGAGATAATCCTTGACTGCTACACTTTATAATGAAGACCCAAATATCTTCTAATACTCACAGAGACTTCATTTATCCTCTTAATCAAGTAAAGTGTTAAGTCGGATACCGGTATTCTCACAGACGGCCATTTTACAGCATGATAACGCCACTCAAGTTGACGATACAAAGCTCTTGCTGCATATATAATATCAATCAATGGGTACTGAACAAGTAATGCATGGGGCCTACCAGTGTAACGGAATCCATGAATAAACCCTCCGGCTGATTTCTTATAGTCCACTGCGTGACTGATAACACCAGCTATACAAACAAGTAATTACTTAATTGATACAGCATTAAGTAGTATATGAAGCCACAATTTTAAAAATGGCCGTAACTCAAAAATTTTTCATCGGAATCGGCTCAAAATTTCTACATAGCATAAGGACATCAATATGTATCAGAAAATGTAATAAAAATTTAGGGTGATTTCGGAGCCATTTTTCGGAAAAAACCATGGGCTATAACCTTTGGTAAATTTAAGGAATTTAATGATGCTGATCTTATAAGCTATTAATATCAAAATTTTAGCAGTGGCATTATGAATGAGACAGCTTACTGAAGTACATATCAGGAACAAGAACTGACTCATAATTTGATTTCATCAAAGGAAACTTTCCATGTGATGATTGATCTACTCCTGGATCGGTTGACTTGTCAAACAACGAGTAGTCAAACTTTAAATGAAAATAAAACATACATTATTATTTTAATATAATGGCAATGCTTACTTACCTTAAATCCAGTACACCTTATGATACTGTCATATGGAAAATAAAACCCAACACTTACTTCACCTATTAATAATAATGTTAGCTAGTGCAATATGTTATACCATACAAAAATATAACATGTACACAGAATGTCCCTTACCATCAGTAGGGAAGTCTTTCCCAGAAGAACTAGCTGGAATAATGTAATATTTCCCATCTTTTATTATTATTTTTGAATCCAAACTTTCGTAAATTTCTAAAAATCAAAGGATAGAATCATGCATAAAGACAATACTGCCATTTGAAAGTTTGTAAAGTTTACAGTAAAACTATATGAACGCTAAAAAATAAAGGTTCATAACTTTTAACTTTAAAAAAAGAATATAATGTGTTAAGTACCAGATTGCCCATCAAGTGATTTGAGTTGATAAGTATCAATAAGATCATCATTAATGGCCCTACATAATAGCTATTAGTAACATTGACATCATAGTTACATGTTACCGTAAATCCCCAACATAATGAGTTTGATAAGCCATCTTAATGCGTGATCTAAGTACAACACTCAACAATACAACAATAACATGCTTATATACTCTATTACCTGCTTGCCATGTGTATGAATGCAGCAGATCCTACAATATTAGCAGCTGTTTCAAAACCAGCATTACCTGTCGTACATTTGTATTATTAATTAATAGTACTTTCGGTTTCTATTTGATGATATTGATTACCTCGGCCAATAATGAACACAGCTTTATTAATAAAATCATCGGGATCAACTGAAACATTTTCATAGCCCTTCAAAAAGAGTATAATAATTTTTACTTCAACTATTTCAACAGGGTAATATGATACTATACAAGGCCCACTCAGGCATTTTTAAACTAATAATCTATCAATGTAGCCTGTAACTCTAACCTAATAAAGTTTGGGCAGTGAAACTATAAGTGTAGGGCTTCAAATTCTATTTGCCAAATGTTTGTTGATGACATATAACCATGTAAATGTTAATTTTACTTAAAATACACATACACACATATGGGACCCATCCCTTACCTCTATAAGTTCAATACCAGGGATTTCAGGTATATGTGGCTTCCATAATCCAGTACTAAGATAAAGAAATAAAATAATATTCACTAGAACAATGGGTGGATGACATTATACCTTATTATTAAAACTTGGCAGTTGTAGTTTTTTCCCAGTTGATCAGTAAGAGTAAAGATACCTGTCTCCAAGTCTTTCTTTACTTTCTTGATCTCTGTATTGTATTGGATGTTCAAGCCTAGCTTTGAGCTAAAGTCCTCAAAATACTTGACCTGATTGAAAATGAAAAATGCTATGAAAATAGTTAGATTAAACAATATAAACATATAAAATAAATATAAGCCTGTTTGTGCACACAAATACACAATGTACATGTACTCCACACTCCATATATGTACATATACATAAAGGCTATCACTGGTTGTTGAATGGATTCTGCTGATATTATCATTATTATAACTACTTACAAAATTCCCTGCCTACACAATAGCAGGAAGGCTGGTACGGTAAATCAATATAAAAACCAGGCAGACTTTATGCATGCCATTTCCTTAAGGTTTCCTCGTGTACAGTAAAAACTTATGTATATGCTCATATACCGCTGTATCAGCATGAGGAAAGTAATCTTTTGAATAATGTTTCATTTTCAAGTCAGGATGATGGCTGAGCAATGAATTCCAGTCGTGCCTTAAATTGAATTCTTCATTAGTTGAGCCTAAAAAATACGTCATTAATAAAGAAGTAGCAATTCATTTTCTGTTACCAGTGTAGCGTTTGTTGATTGAGATGAGTTTTCTGTGTCGAGGATATTGGCGAAAGAAAGAGCCTATTAAGAATAATTAAAATGACAAAAATTAAAGTTAGAAGATCAAAGTACTCTGGAATTTAAGCAATTAGATTATCGCTTACCAGAGGTGGAGTTTCTTTCAAATATTACATAGTCTCTGCCTGATGTCTGAAGAAAATATCCCAATTGCATCCCTAGTAGTGAGACAATAAAAGGGAGAAACAAGGGGGAGGAATATAATAATTATTATGAGGAATTACCATGCATAGTTTACCTGAGGGGCCAGCTCCTATTATACAGTATTGGTGGGATAGAAGGAGAGTAGAAAAGGAGACTAGAACTAAGAGAACTAAAAGAAGATTAGCCATTGCCAGCTTTTGTTTTTGCTTATGTTAAGTTTAATGGGGTGGGGCTAGATAAACTTAACGATTTTTTCCCTTTAAACTGTGATGAGATATTATGTAACAATATTGGACTATGGTTTTGTACGCAATATGGATTGTTTATGATATGCTAGTTAGTAAGTAGCAAGTTGCATAATGTAGGATTGTTCTAGTTAAATCTCATCTGTAATTGTAATCTCTTAAAATTATTTTGATTTTAGCTAAAAATTACTAAAATTAGATTAGATGCGTGGGAAGATATTAGGGTGGGGCTCAGACGCTGAGCAATGCAGCAACGCCCCCAACAAAACAAAAAAGCTAGAGCTGCTGTTGAAATATAGGATGACTAGAAAGAAGAGAAGCACCGTCGATACAAGAGCGCTGTTAATTTGTTTAACAGTACTAGTATTGCAAGTAAATGGACAGTCATCACCAGAAAGTAAGTGTAAAATCCGGCTTCAGCAGTTGCAGTTTTTGAAAGTGCTTCTATGCTTTTACTGTTGCTAATGCTCAAAATGCTCGACCAGTGACTGGTGTTTTGCTGTATTTTTTTTTTCTACAGGATGCGATCAGCATACACTAGGGAGTGGGTCTGGATTGGACCCGGCTACAATATGTGGACAGAATTCAATGTGTCAGAATAATGCAGAGTGCCTATGTAACACTGGCTACTTCAGCCCATCGGGTTCAGAAACAGATTGTAGAGGGACAAATGGTACGGGCACTCGTGCTAAATCAGTTCATTAATCATTCCAACAGTATCAATAATCATTGTCTATACTACAAACTCCTTGTTTACATAACTTGGAATTCTTCAACTGTTTTGTTATGACTCCCATAAACTTAATTGCATGCACTACCAGTTTTTACGATTAATCACTATGCATATCCTTGTTCCGCAGAGCCTGATCCAAGATGCAGTAGATTTAGTCAGGACTGCGTCTATTGTGGAGCAAACTTTCAAGGCCCTTGCTACAAGTGAGAATTCGGTAATAAAATTAATCTTATACCATGAGCTTAGGTGCACTGCAGTTATTTATGACGGACAGTGCCTACAAAGATGTCCTGAAGGTACACAGTTTGCTGTGGAACAAACTGACAACTTTAATTCACCAGTCTCGACATGCATAGGTCAGCACATGAATGCATGATAGTAAAATTGTACTCTGACATTACATACAGGCATTTGTACTATGCCAGTAGTTATTTGTAGCAATCTGTATGCAATTGCATGTGTGTAATAGACTAGTGCTTGTAGGATGCATGTGTGGATGATTATGTGTGTGGGTCGTGCTCCAGAACATTGAAATGCACAGACTATGAATTTAATTACTAGACACTAAATTAATAATGCCTCCAACCAGATAGTGCTCCAACCCTCTTTCTTTCTCTTTCTTAGGCACAGCAACTACTCAGGCACTGCAGGACTGGGCAATCATTGTCATAATAGTCCTTGGCTCAGCTATACTTATTGTCATTGCAATATTGATTGCTGCACTTGCTTGCAGGTGTCTTAGGCGCTCAAAGTAAAGAGATTCATTATGCACACATTGGAATGATTGGATCAAAGCAAAATAGAGTTATTTACTAGCTTTATTCTCATTTATAGTGTTGGTGAGCTCAACATTGCAGAAAGAGAGGAGAGAGAAGCAGGGAAATATGATGAGGAAGAGATACCGATAAGAAATGACAGTGCTGAAGAGCTTGATGGAGGAACAGCAGTAAGAGAATTTGAATAAAGTGATACAATTTTTCTTTAACATTAGTCTGATAATCGAAAAAGTGCAGTTGACGAACACTTTGAGATTGATGATGACACGTATTATGGTAAGCAAAGGGTTACGCAGTACATAAAATTTTGAGATTAAATTTTAATTTTCCTTGAGAATAAAAGCATATGTCACATGCATGCATGATATGCTGTAATTAAATACCTATATCTAAACTAATTACCTCTCTCTTGTCTCTTCTCTTGTAGTAAATGAAGAAGAGAGAGAGGAATTCTTTGAACGACTTGGTGTACTTCGTGAGCAATCAGTAGTGTTCTTAAGAATGTTGAATGACATGAGAAAAAGATTGAAAGAGCTGCCCCAAACCTCACCGGCCGTTCCGCAATACAAGTGAGAGAGAAATCAGCTAAAAAAGAAAGGTTTATGATGCTCTTTATAGAAACGTGATGAGAGATCTCACTCGATTGCTGTACATGTTGAACAAGAAGCCAGAGAAGGTTAGGATACCGCCAGATGGACTACGACTCCTCATCTGGTCAGAGCAAATATTAAACAAATATCTTCTAGCACAGGTAAAGAGAGAGAAATGTATTTCAGTTATTACAACTTTTATTATTTTAGGGAAAACAACCTATATCATCACCAACACAAGCACCATCTCCTCCCAGTGGTTCACCACAAAGGTTTAGTAGCATCGGAAGCACTGCTGAAACTGACTTTTAAAAGCATGCACCACCACACATTCTCACAGGCAGTTTTTAAATATTATGTAGATGTTTCCTTCAATACTTTTACTATGTGCTTCACTTATGCCTCCTTCCTCTCTCTCTTTCTCTCTCTATGCTTCTTCTCACTCCTCCGTAGTAGACATATTTATTGCAAATTTTATATAATACACAATATAATAATAATAATACCTTTGTAACAATAATATTAATAATATAATATTATCGTTATTTTGTAAAAAAGTTCAGCAAGCACACTTGTACGTGTACATAAAATAATAGACGGAGAAAGAGAGAAAGAGGAATGTGAGTTTCATTGTGCCCCTAGTTTCATTTTAATTTGTTTAATGTAGTCAACCAATGCTGCATCGTTGCGGCCTTGACGCTGTAGCATTTCATCCAAAGCAGCAATATTCCTCTCACTAGCAGCAGTCTCAGCAGCTTTATGCCAATCACTAAATGAAGGAGAAAGAGAGTATTATTATAATTAAATAATAGTGATCTAATTTTTAGCATTGTATTTCTAAAATGTTATACATTATAATTTTTTTCTGTACTTACCCAGTTATCATGTACAGTCTGCATCTTTTATTAGGAGGACAGCGAGGGATGTATTTATTAGCTTCTGTAAATCTGTTCTTTTGCAAACAAACCTCAACAAATGGCTACAATAGATGAGAGAGAGAGAGAGAAAGAGAAAAAAGGTACAGAAGAGGTGTTGTAGAACAAATTACCTCATAGCCTATCGGAGATTTCTTTTGTTTTGAGAATCTCTCGATTTCTTCAAAGTTAGCGACTGATGCAAGAGCTCTTAGCTTTGCCCACCAAAAACTAATAGAAAATCAATAGTTACTGAGTAATGAAAATAGAGAATTCTCTCTAAAAGCTACAACATAAATATAGTATCCATAACTTACAGTGTGTCAGGCATGGCAAACTTCTTTTTCAAATTATCGGCTACTTTAAACTGACTCCTTCTAACACACTACACACACACACACACACACACATTATAGGTGCATTCAATATAAGTACACATACCTCCATTATTGTTGAAAATAAAGTTAAACCGACTGTATCAAACTTGTGATCCTCCTTAAGCTGTGTCTGCTCTCTATGAAGCCTGTCTTGATCCTCTATAACCTGAGAGAGAGAGAGAGAGAGAGAGAGGGGGGGGGGAACAAGGACATATGTTGAAGAGGAATGAAGTAAAGATGCTGTATTGTAATTATAAGATTAAATACCTTCATATGAAATGACAACTGTCCATCCGTGAATTCCTTGTACGCTTGCTTAACCAGCTCTTGTCTTGGGACTAAGAATCTCTCTTTTGCTTCTTTTCTCTCCTTTTCATCTTTTTCTTCCTTGGGCTTTGCCTGAAAAACAATCATTATCACTACGCTATTGCAGTATTGCACCTTTTAAAAATACTTTTAGATGCAGTTTAGGCATTTTAAATTATACCATAGGTATATACATTATAATGATTATATATACAGATTATTGCTATACTCAGTATAATAATTCGGGGGATCTCCTTACTACGCGATAGGCTTGAGATAGAAGATGTATTCCAGCACCAACAAAATCACTTTCCTGATGACAGAGATTGACAAGCCCCTCAGAATCATTCTCTTTGCAATACTAACAAAGAAATACACAATCAACTGATGCTCTACTCTAGTATAAGCCAGCTATAGGCTACAGTAGAAATATAGTGAATGCCTTTCATACCTTCTTATAGAGGGCAGCCGCCGTGGGTCTGTGATTAAATACCTTCATGTAATCCGATGTCCTCTGAGACCCTTTCATCCTCTCCAACACTTCATAAACTGCACAAAGTAACAATCAACAAATAAAGCTAAGAAACACTACAGAGGCAATGCTTGAAATATTAGACTGGAGACTTCATATACTTAAATTAAACCTTTGACCTTCATTTTGCACATGCTCTGACAATAGGAAGACATTTGGAAAATATCTTATAGATGTCAATATTATCTCTTGAATCATTCTATCAGCATCTTAGTCTCTTCTTCATAGCATCAAGGATTATCCTTCTTATTGGCTAATATGGCTATTGGTATTGAATCAAGTAGACTCTGTACTTATCGTAGTCCCTGGGAAGCTGATCAGGGAGACAAAATACTTACTATGCATCTACATATGAATCCACCAATCACAATCTTATTCTTTTTCATTATTTTTATTCTCCCTAATATTATAAAGAGGATAGTTACCTAATTGCGCATCCCAGCTACTAGTGGCTTTATCCAGTGCCTTGTCAGCTTCATCCATCTCTAATAGCATCTGCACCTGGTCCTCTACCAGTACCTCATGCTCTAGTAGTTGAGCTGCTAGTGTCCTCCTGTCCTCTTGTCTCGCCACTCTCGCTATATCAGCATACGATATAACAATACCACAGGATTTGAATCGGGTCAGTATCATATTAGCAACTTTAGTGTCGCTAACAGTCTTATCCCTAACCTACAAAAAAAATATACTGTAAATGCATACATGTACATGTACATGTACATGTATGCCAATTGTCAAATACATGCATGTAGAAAGATTGCTGGATAAAACTATTGAGTAGTTATAATAGATAGTGTACAAGTAAATGTACTAAATAAATATACATATACATGTGTATGATCAATTACATGTACATGTACATGCATGTGAAAAGTTTCCTTAATAAGGCTGGTTTACAATATCCCATTAGGCCAGCGTACTGTCAATTTTTAATCAAAAGTGTGAGCGATTTGACCTTTTGTCGCATGCTTTCCGCTAGAATAGAACCAGATTCTATTCCAGTGTCAACATAACGCCAGGACTAGCGTAATATTGTAAACCAGCCTTTAAACTGAGTGATTAGGATAGAATGAGTGAGTGTGCATACTTTGTGGAGGGCCCACTGTGTGAGGACTTTAACTTCCCCGACATCGGAGGGTAATTTCAAATAATTACAAATCTCGAGTGCTACCGGGTACTGCCTGTGATTGGTCAACCTGTCCACGAGGACACCAGGAGACAAACGACTGAACCTAACAAAGAATTAATAATGATAGAGAACATGAGAGAATAGAGAAAAAGAAGGAAGGAAAGAAATACATTTATAAAACAAAAAGGAAAAGTGAGAAGAAGGAGAAAGAGAGAGAGAGAGAGAAGGGATGAAATAAATACATTTATAAAGTGAAAAGGACAAGTGAGAAGGGGGAGAGGAGAGAGACTTAATTAAAAAGGAGAAAAAGGGAAAGGTTTAATTTACTGTCTGTATGTGATGGGTATTCCAATGGCCGGGTCACGAACAAAGTTAAGGACACGAAGATTCCGAGCAGTCTCAACAAAAGCAGTAATGATATCATCAGATACATCAGGACCAAGGAACCCTTTACCAAAATTAGCAGACTAAAGAGAGATTAATAATAATAGAATTTTTACATCACATGTACTGGAGCGCTATTTTAAATGGCTGACCATGAGCAATGCTTGCTGAATCTTTGGTTCAAATTCTTCAGAGGCAGCGCTAATACACTGGAGTACAGCATCAGGGAGCTTGTCCTTAATATATCTAATGTACTCGTCAGCTTTGTGGCTCTCGTCACCCTAAGGGAAAGTGAAAGAGATTAAGTCAATAGATATACACACACGTACAATGTACTCCTTGTAGGCGTCATTGAGAATAGCTCCTGGTTGAAGCGAAGCCACTTTCAATACACTCAGTGAGCTCTCTGTATAAGGACAGCCTTAATACCCAGTAGTGTATTGGTGACTTACTTGGTACCCTGTGAATAAACTCACAGGTGGTGTTAGTAACCAATCTGACTCCATCGATCTCAGCTGCAAGGACACACGGGCCTTTACTGGGTAGCCTGTATACCAGTGGCTAAGGAAGGCACACAACATGTACATGACTGTATCATCATAATTGAACTGATATCAGAATCAGGTCAAACTTTCTACATGGTATAGGGGCATCAATAAATATATATATATATATGCTAGAAATGTAAAAAAAAAGATTTAAAAACCAATTTTTTGTAGAAAGGACAGATTATTACATGGCCCATGCTTTCCTTATAACACGGTTACAATACACAGTGAATAGTGAGAGGATACTTGCACCAGTGCTTTGCAAGGCCTTTAAGGAAAATAAACTTCTCATATAAAAGAACAATGAAATCATTGCCAGACCTGGAGAGAAGCAAAAGAGGGGGAGAGTGAGACAGCATTTGCAAAGAACTCACCATTCCATTTGTAAGACATTCGACGAGCTTTGGATATCAAACTCTACTTCTTGCGACTATAAGAAAGAGTCGAGTGAAAAGTGAGGATTGAAGCGTATTGCTTGTACTTTGAAATCGGACGATCCGGCCCATATGTATCCAGTCTTATCAATGAGTGCTGCTGCCTTGCCACTGAGTGATATGGCAATTGATGTCCACTGTCTATTAGAATCTTTACAAGCAACACTCTATCAATGATAATAATGTTTACTGTCAATTATAGTCTATATAAATATAAGTACTTGCATGTACATGTATATTTACCATAATTATATTTTATATATTTTATAATGCATATACTGTACAAGATGAGTTATTGGCAAGAGTAATATTTGGCAAAATTTCCTGTGGAAAGTTATTGGTAAATTTTATATTGGCAATTTTGTGCCACGTACCATTGAGCATGCTCAGATCAAAACAAAATGGCGGATTTTATATTGGCAATTTCTTCATAAAACCGCCAATCGCCAATGTTAATTCCTCGCCAATAAATCATCTGGTACGGTAGTACAATGTACACATGACCATTATTCTATATGGATCCATTCATTATTTACTCTCTCCTTCTCCTTGTCTTACTATAGGAACTGTCTCAAATGACTGCATTAGATACACTTGGCCTTCAACCACAGCAATGACTCCAACATTCTTCCCAGAAGGCATGACAGCCCAGCAAGAGGGACAAGTATTCAAAGTTCCAGCTACAAGAGAGCTTAAGTATAAATTAATTAAAATGTACGCCTCACAAGGTAGCTCTGCTAGCGTTTTGACTCGAATGTCATCCTTATCTCTGTCGGAGTCTGCTACTACATAGAAATGATAATCAAAGGTCATTACGGCAAAGCCAGCGAATCCTTCGATTGAATGGAAAAACCTGACTTGAGCAACACGGTGATCTCTGATTTCCTAAAAAGAATAAGAAACAATCAATCATATACATATATACAGGTATAGGGCTCTGAATTGAACAATATGTATCAGGAAATTATACTAAATATTAGGGGTGATTCCGGAGTCCGTTTTTATTTTTAAAAAACCATTGGCTATAGTACAGGGTATTTTTCCAAAAATTAGCACATTTTTGTATATACATGTAACTTTAAATCTTTGGTTGAAATCAACTCAAACTTTCTACATAGCACAAATTAAAAACATAAGAACAAAAGAAGAGAGGAATATGCCTACTCGAGCTAGTAATCTCTGAAACTTCATGACGCCATGAACAGTATAGACTACCATAGTCCCGTCATCGTATATCAGGACCAGATCCTCAGACGCTGTCCAACCCATACCAACTATCTTACCACCTTCAAGCTAAAAAAAGAGAGAGAGAGAGAGAGAGAGGAGATAAATGATTGCGTTTTAGTATGTACTTTGATGAATCCTATTTTCTTTGCAGCCAATGTGTATGTAGTGATATCAGACCATCCTTCATGCTTTGTTAATACAGCTATTAGGAGAAAGGAGAGAGAGGGAGGTCAGAGAACAATATAGAAGTAATTGTGTACATGATAAGCATCGTATTAATGATATTATATACCTATTGATCCTCCATAGGGTGCCACTACTGCTTTCTGATTAGCAAGGTCAACCTTCCATTCAAGTTCATCATAGTTCATGTAACATCTTATAAAAAGATCAAAAATATACAAAACTCATCTCAAACTCTTTCTCTCACTTTGCAAAACCCTCTCCCAGCGGAGTCCAGTCCAGGTTAGCTCCTGACAGTATTTCTCCTACATCGAAACCGTCCGCCATCTTAATGGGCGTTTCCTTCTAAAATAGGCGTGGTTTCAAAAGGGGCGTGTTCTGACCTCGTTTGCTGGGTGTGGTTATTATTTTAAAGATTTTCAAGATGGCTGCTCTCTTGTTCAGGTAATCCGATTGTCCTGAGGCCACTGTCTGCTAAAGCAAGGAGTATTTCTACATGCATAATGGCGGAGGATTATGACGAGTTAGAGTTGAAGAGACTGAGAGAGAATGCTTTAAAATCAAGGCCTGGCCAGCATCATCATGTAAGGGTGGGTGGGGTCAAATTTTTGTCCAGTGTCTAAAAGAATATTTTCTATTGTGTGATGAGCTTCATTTTGTTTGTAACTGTTTTGGTTAATAGTTGCTATTTATTGTCATCCACACCCAATTTTTTTCAATAATATGTACATGCATTTGGGCTATGATTTGGGTAATTTCATTACCGATGGATTCCAGTTGCATTATATTTAATATAATAATTATATTTTATAAGTTATCTTTCCTGTTTCTTTCTCTGTTTCCTCTCTTCTTTTATACAGGGTTATTCCAGCAGCTCACGTAATCAAGTAAGTTACCATTACCTACATACATGCATACAACTTATACATTTATGTACTTGTATAAGTTGTGTTATTCACATATCTATGCCAGCTTTTCCTTGTGTTATTTTAATAAAATTTCATGTCAAGATCAATCCATTAGCTCCTCATTTCAACCATAATGTGTAAAACTTGTGTTTATTTTAATGACAGGACTTTCTATTGCCTCTCCCAACTCCATCCCAACCATTACTACCTGCTTCACACTACCACCGTATCCCTCTTCCTATTCCTCCTTCTCACCCTCCCTCCTCCCACCCTCCTCGTCCCCCTCCCTCTCATCTCTCTCGTCCCCCTCCTTCCCGGCTCTCCCGTCCTCAAACCAGACCCACGTCTCATAACTCTCATCCTTTGCCCTCTCACTCGAGCAAGTCTTCATCCCGTAGCTCCTCCTCCAGCTCCTCCTCCTATTCCTCTTACTCTAAGGAAGAAGGAGCCTCTCATTCTGGGTCTAGCCGCTCCTCTCGCTCTGTCTCGGTTCAAAGTGGATCCAGTTATAGTTCGTATTCTCATTCTCCTCCCCCTCCGGCCCATTCTCCTCATTACAGAAGAGGTAGGCGTGGTAGCCCCTCCCCTCAGAGAGGTCCTTATGTCTCAGGTTCTCCAAGACCAGTTAGAATGAGTGGGCGTAGGCCACGCTCCTCCTCACCTTCTCATCATCGCAGGCACCACTTCACTCCCCCTCCCACCCTCCCTCCAAGAAGACACTCTCCTTATTTTCCTCGGAAGCAATCACCTTCCTATTCTAGAAAAGATTATCCATCGCCTAGGAGACGCTCACCAAGGAGACCATCGCCAAGGAGACCGTCGCCAAGGAGAGAAGATGATGGATGGAGACATAACCTACACCCACTGCCGCCAAGGAGACCGTCGCCAAGGAGACTATCACCAAGGAGACCATCGCCAAGAAGACCATCACCTAGGAGAATGTCCCCAAGGAGACCATCTCCAAGGAGAATGTTGCCTGGGAGACCTTCGCCAAGGAGACCATCACCAAGGAGACATGTCCTTCCTCCTCGTGCTGATGAGGTCCTTTATGAGAGGCACAGGTTAGTGTCCCCTCCCCCTCCTCGTTTGAGGTCTCCTCCCCCTCCCCCCAGGAGGGTATCACCGAGAAGAGTTAGGGAAAGACGTAACGTCTCACCTCCTCCTCCTCCTAGAGCCAGAGGAATGAGCCCACCACCAGGAAGAATAGTAAGGGACAGGAGCCCCAGAATGAGAAGAAATCTATCACCTACGAGACCATCACCTAGGAGACCATCACCTAGGAGACCGTCGCCTAAGAGACCATCGCCTAGGAGACCATCGCCTAGGAGACCAAGAGAGCCATCGCCTAGGAGAGAGAGAGAGAGGAGAGGGTCATTAAGAAGAGACGTTGATGTTGACAAGAGACTAAGGCTTGCCTCTGGGTCAGAGAGATTCATTGAAACTCGAGAGGAGGAGAGAGGAGGAGGAAGGAAGAGAAAGAGAAGCCATCATGGTGAGGTACTTCCTTCCAAACAACACAAAACAGAAGAGGACCTGTTGCTGTAAGTATCAACCATAGGACATGAACTACATGGCCAAAATTTAAAACTACATGTTGTATTATCATTATCTGTTTATCTATTTTTTTTATTGTTGTTGTTATTATTGTTGTTACAGGGAAGATGAAGTCCTGGTAGATAAAATTGAGAAGTCGAGTGGCCTGACCGGGCTTGATCCTCTTGATGAAGAGCTGGACTATGATGAGAGCATGGAAGACATTGAGAGATACCTCCATGAAGATGAACAGTCCGACAGTGAGTACACCTACACGTACCATGCTACATGCACATGTACATACCGTAATTATTACTAGAAAATTAGGTGAGTTGACTCTAAATGAGGTCATGAACAAATTTGGAGACTAAAATTTTGGCAAATGGACCTTAATTCACCAAATCCACTAAAACTTGCATGTACTTCACCAAATTTTTTAGCCATGTACATGTATCTTGTGAAAGATCAGTGTCCTATTTAATTTTTACTTTTTTCTTTCTTTCTCCTCCCTTACCCTGTATAGTGGTGTTTACTTTAAAATCGGAAGTAAGAAAGAAGCCAACGCTCCCGGAGAAGGCAAGGCTCGTTAAATACTCCCCTTGTCTTTACCTCTGGTTGCTATAGGATGAGTCCTCCCCTCGGCCTCCCTCCACGCCTCCAGAGACTAACGGAGAGAATGAGTCTCCCCCTCATAGAGAGGAATCAAGGGCAGGAGAGGGAGAGGAGAGCAGAGTCATACTAATGGAGGACGAGGAGGAAGAAGAAGAAGAAGAGGGACAGTTGGATCCGTCGGACTCTGACACTCCTAATGAAGGCTGTCCACAAGAGGAGCTTGGGGAAACGCTTGACGAAATGACGAGAGGTTTGGAAGGAACGGAGAACAACAGCGAAGACCATGTGACAGAAGTGAGACAGGAGAGGATAGTCAGACAAGAGATTGGCGAGGAAGAAGACAATGGGTCATCATTGGGAGGAGAAGGTAAAGTCAGTATCTACAGTTTTGCATTAATACAATGTACTGTGGAGAAGCGTATAGAAGCTGCTTGTAGAGTTCTTTTGTCCAACCCTTGTTGTTTGTGTGAAAAATAATTCTTTGTCATTCAGCTCTCGACACCGAAGAAAAGGACCCGCCCAAAACAGACACGCCTCCTCCTCCTGATAGCGGCAGTGAAGATGCGTCTGCTCCCGGTCTCATAAGCTCTCCAATTCGTCTCACTCCCGAACGTAACCCTAACGGGAGCTCCGGTCGAAAGCCTCTCACCTCTCGCTCTCGTAAACTACTCAAAGACCGTGCCTCTAAAGGTGACGGAGAGAATGATGGCGACGACACTCGCTTGCCAGTAAAGGAGAGATTATACCTAAGCAAGCGAGATATAGGTATGTCATTTGCATTAATTAATCATTTCTTTCTTCTTTTTTCTTTTCGCGTGTAGAGCGTAAGAAAGAAGCATCAGACTATCGACAGCAGCATAAGATTAGCAGCAACCTCGAGAGCAGACTAGGCCCTTCACCAAATGACAGGAAACCATTTCATACAGGAAGGATCGGGAATAGGTATCTACATGTACATGTACATGTATTTGTGTTGATAATGTACACAATACACATGCATGCACATATTAAATACATATATAGTTATACATGTACATGGTACAGGTGTAGTTGCATGTATATGTACATGTACATGCAGTATTATAAATCTTTCATTTATTATTATTTTTTACTCAAGGAGAGGAGGTCAGACAAGAGAAGCTAAAGGGAGTGCGATGGAGATAGCTCAGGCCTTCAGGTGTGGAGACATTACATTGTGCATAAGTATACAGTATTTTATATCAGTCTGAGCCTGGTATTATTTTGTCGGGCAAGACTAGTAAATTTTAGTTTTTTTATGCTAATACTCAGAGTTTCCTACAAAGCATGCTACAATGTAAATGAGCTAAATTGTGTCCTTTATAAGCCGAAAAGTCTTATAATAGCGGAGGGGTTGTCGAGCAACTTTAATAAAAGTGATCAAAACTTTAATTTTGATAGAATCACCTCAAAGTTCTACACAAAATAAGTACATGTATATGCATTGAAAATTGTAAGAATTTTGTATTATAGTACATGGTTCTGGGCCCATGGTTTAGACCTATTGAAAAACCCATGGGCTATAGCCTTGGGTAATTTTCAAAAATTGGCTTATTTTTTAAAATGCTCATAACTCGAAAAATATTTGTCAGAATCGACTCAAACTTTCTACATAGCATAAGGACATCAATATGTATCAGAAAATTTAATAAAAATTTGGGGTGATTTCGGAGCCATTTTTTGGAAAAAACCATGGGCTATAGCCTTGGGTAATTTTCAAAAATTGGTCCATTTTTTTAAATGCTCATATATAACTCAAAAAATATTTGTCGGAATTGACTCAAACTTTCTACATAGCATAAGGACATCAATAAGTATCAGAAAATTTAATAAAAATTTGGGGTGATTTCGGAGCCATTTTTTGGAAAAAACCATGGACTACAAGAACATAAAAAATTAAAAAAAAGACAAGATGAAGTAGGATTCTGAATGCTTAGCATATACTATGCTAAGCATGTGGTATGCTAAACATACAATATGCTTAGCCAAAAATGAAAAGTAGAGAATTCTTTATTTTTATATTTTTTTCCTGATACATATACATGCTCTTATATTATGTTTCAAATTTGAGCTGATTCCAATCAAATTTGGATTTTTTATGAATTTTTAAAAATTACTCAAAAATCAGGTCAAAGTCCCTGTACTAAGAATATTATCATTCTATTTTGTTTGCAGGAGAGAAAAGGAGAGGAAGAATCAAGGAGAAGGGATACTTGACGAGCAGGAGCTTAGAAAAGGACAGAGGTTTGCCAAGTTGCTAAACGAACATCAAACAAGATCAGATAATAATGTAATAAAAATAATAATAATGTTAATTTTTTTTATTATTCAATTTCGACTTTTAATCCTTTCTCTCTCTTAATACTCCAGAGGTTGTCTAGAAGAGATGAAGATCTTGATAAGAGAATTAATCGGATTCGTAGCAACAATCAGAAGCAATTGGAGAGAGACAAGGAAATTCGTAAGGACAGACAGCTACACGGTTAATGAAGCACTAGAGAATATTATTATATTATATTATTATTATTATTACAAGTATTATTATTATTGTTGTTGTACTATTCAATTCATCATGGCTTTCGCTGTCAATCTTACTATTTAAAATTGTGTTTGTTATTTTTTTTTGTTTTGCTGTACTGAGTGCTCTGGAATCGCTCAATAATTCATTTTTGATAATAATTTGCTGTATATGTATTTACTATTACCGTATGTACATTATTATTATTAATTATTATTATTGTTATTTTCCCAGTTTATTTGTATTTGTTTCTGGTGATTTTTGATTTTTTTTTTTGAAGTAAAGCAATAACCTATAAATAAGATTTTGTTACTTAATAAAAGAGGAGGTGAAAAAAAATTAGAAAAAGAGAAACACTATTGTTAGCCAATCTTTTATTACAAAAAAACAGAATGCTTTGGTGGGTTTGTAACTCAGTAACTTTTATGCAGCATTTGAAGGAACACAAAAGACATGGTATGTTCTAAAAAATGCAAAATTATACATTACAACGTGCAAAAATACAGTTTTCCAAATGGAAATATTGAAGCAGTCAATAGAAATATTATACTAATGAGTAACCCAGCTTGAGTTAAAAACATTCTTTGAGATTTCGCCAGTTCCTAGTTTATTGGCCAGTAGCTGAAATTTGCTCCTGAAGAAGTCAATATTGACATATCCTCCCTATTAGCAATGCAGTATCATTTACATAATGTGATTCATTCTATCATCTCTTACTCTTAAATGTCTCTCTCCTCCATTCAATTCAAAGGCATTCCTTGAGTGAGCCATTCTTCTGTTATTAAAGCAAAGAGCTTCACCTGGTCTCAGTCTACGGCCTAACTGTTAATGACAAGTAAAGATAAAACTTTATCAATCACATAAGCTTTGTACACAAGGCAGCTAAAATGTTGCTTGAAACATTAGTGAATACTCAAACTTTACAAGCAGCATACTGCCAGTCTGTTCTACTTGGCAATGGATTACAATTGGCTTGGTTACTGGCAAACAAGCTGCCTTACTGCCTCATGTATGAAGGCCTTACTCTAGTTGGTGATTCATCAATCATGGCTGAGAAAGTAATGAATGCTTCATAATACTTTTCAATCTTATCCTATAAAAACAAATTTTGTTGAGTAGCAGCATCTTCCACAAAAAAATAAAAGGCAGAGTCTCACCTCAGTGGCTTGCAACGGCCCATGAAACTGTGGGGACCAGTTTATTGATACTATCTATAAATTTAAAATTAATCTATGTTTACTTCATCAAGCAAATGTACTTCTCCAGAACTGTCCAAAGATATGTGAGGTTTACGTGTAAGGAAAGAGACAGGATTCTCTCTAAAATGATTAAATATTACATTTATAGTACTAGTTCATGTTTTCATGATTCTTCTCTCTCTTTTCTTTTTATGTCTGCTCTTTCTTACGTTTCAAGGGTTTCGTGTATCCTTTGAATACTGTAAGGTACTTCAGTTAAAGTCTTAAAGTGATGAGGATACTCGGATCTCAACTTCTGTGCAGTATCGTAAAGATCGACTAAAACAGTTTCACCACCTGTAACACAATCATCAAACCTTTTTATAGAGAAAAAACATGACAATCACAAAAATAAACAAGGATGATGGAGGTGTGGTACTTTAAGCAATGAAGCAATTGTATTCCTGGCGGTGACTCGAAAACCCCTTGATCCATATGCCATAGAAGATCATCTGTACTATAAGCAGCATCAATTACACTCTCAGCTGCTATGACATCAAATATCTACAAAATGATGAGCCAATATCACGTAACTTTGGATGATAAGTCTTTGTAACAATGATGAAACAAATCAAGGGCATTTGCCCATATAAAGTATACACGGCATTGAATCAAATAAAAAATGCTATATTTAGATATAGTGAAATATGAATTTTTAGTGTAAGTGCCCCATAAAAATTAATTCAAAATCTACTTATTATTCACACATTGGAGTGAAGGCTCACTGACTTACAAGTTTATATAAATGCTCTTGTGGATTACCAATCTTCTTTAATATCTACAATATATAATTATTATTAGGAATGAGACTTAATTTAATTCAAATGTTACTTGATCAGCATCAATGTGATCTGGTATATTTCTTATTAGTGATGCTCCATAGAAATTCACTTGTTTCAGCCACCTAAAGCATTAAAAAGACTAGTACATCAATTTAATTGAAAAAGAAAATTATCTAAAGCTAATGAAAATAAGACAGAAATGAATAATAGTACATGATATAGGAACAAAAATAAATACATAAATAAGTGAATATTAGGAAATTCAACTCACTCGTATAATCCTTCATCACTTGACATCATGTCAGCGCAGTCAATAGTTGGTAGAGTGTCCTATAGTACTCATGAACTGAATACAAATCAGTCTATTAACTTACTGTTACAATTGGCTTTGAGCTCTCATTCTTTTTATCAAAAGCATTGGGAGAAGAGTAATCGAATTCCTTCAACCACTTCACATTAAACGAACAAGAATGAGGGCCTTTAGCTGAATCCCACTTCACATGAACAGATCCTGTGTGGTAATACACAATGAGTTTCCTTAACAAAACATGACAAAATTAATTACAGAGAAGACAATGCCATCATCCAGCCCACTCTGTTACAGTTAATTTACACAGCAAACGGATTTACCATCATCAAGAGAAGCTTCTTTGATATGTAAGTCCACCAGTTCACTATGATGGACAATATTTTGATTAGAAGACACAATGAGACACTTTGGACATCTACAGTTGTGTCTCAGCCAGACACCATGATACCTTCTCTCAGGCTCACCCTCCACTGAGAGACGGATCTTCTTCCCGTCTTGACTCACGGAGACAGCACTGGAGTAGCGGGACACTGAGAGAAGAGGGAGAGACAATCCCCTTCCTTTGAGCCACAACGACCTCCACATTCTGAGCTGATTATTTACTGCAGATCGTTCGACTTCGACGGCCACCAATACATGCATTATGCATACAGTTAGGCGTGGTCAATTTAAAAAATTTTTTAATTCTCAATCTCAACTTAACTCAACTCAAACAAAACTCAATTAATAGATGGCTAAATATATATATAACACAGAAATGATTAAATATAGGACATCAGTTTAGAGTTGTATTAAATGTTACTTATTCTTCAGTGCATCTAATATGCGAAGTATATAAATGAAGAGGTTAATGAAATCAAGATAAAGCTCCACAGCTGCAATGATGTAATCCTCAGTAGAGTGTCTATGCATTATCCTGTATGTATCAAACAATATAAAACCACAGAATATCAGGGCTCCACCAACAGATATGACAAAATCAAGTGCCTCAGACCAAAAGAAAACCTACAGCAATGGTAAAGAGTTTGTGGGATTATCACTTGGTTATAATAGTCTACCACTCTACCTGCATGAAACTTGCTACTATGAGAATGCACAGTAAAGTAAATAGGCTATTAGAGGGAGAGAAAGAGAGAGAGGAAATTAAAAATGTGTGTAAGAGGGCAATTAAAACTTAAAAGATACCTTGCTCCCCATGTGCTGTAATCATATTTGCTCTGCATTGAGTAGAGGGTGAGGGATACAAAGACAGCTGTAGTAATGATGAATGCTTTGATGACGATTCCTTGATCATAATAAGTAATGATGCTTCCAAGTGATATTGATTCTGACAGAGTCTGGTATATAAAATAAAACAGATAAATCAACATTATTCGTTTCACTTCACTCCCAAATTTATATTACAATTTCTGGTATAATATACATGCCTTCGTGCTGTGTCCCATCCCACAATATGGACTATAATATATAATAATATTAGACTTACAAATATTCCAAGTAAAATGAAGTTGATAGGCGTTTGGTGTCTCATCACAATCAGAGCAATAAGAGAAACCAGTGCACCAATAGTTAAACCAATAATAAGAACGGGACTGTAAAATTACAAAAAAATATTTGTTTTATGAAAGTGCAGCATTCAAGGTTCCCACAAAGTGGTGCTAAGTGAGGATTAATAATTATACTAGTCTCATGCATCACCCATCCAAACATATTAGAAGTTTTATTCAATGAATACGTACCTTCCTTGAACAAAACCCTTGACAGTTTGTGATGTCATGCAAGCAATGCCAACAATCAGAGTCAGACATAACTGGGCAGTTAATATGCCATAGACCTTCCTCAAAAAACCTGAAAAAACAGCATAAAAAGTAAACAGAACCAATCAGAGGTACATCCTTCTTACCAAGCCTAAGAGCAACTTCTGCCTGGTGAACAGAAATAGAAGGTATCTTCCTAGTACTGCCTGTATTTGTTAAACTCTCGACGTCCATTGTCACTGTGCATGCAAGTGAAGAAACAAGTCAATAACACACCCACCCAATTGGGATGACGTCTGTAAGTTATTAATAATGAATTTATTCAATGAAAAATTGATTATTCTAAAACAGTAACAAATAATGAGTGATTAATACTGGCAGGGGGGTATTAGTTAATGTGTAAACGAATGATTAATACTGGGGTATTAGTTAATGAGTAAACAAGTGATTAATACTGGGGTATTGTTAATGAGTAACCCAGCTTGAGTTAAAAACATTCTTTGAGATTTCGCCAGTTCCTAGTTTATTGGCCAGTAGCTGAAATTTGCTCCTGAAGAAATCAATATTGACATATCCTCCCTATTAGCAATGCAGTATCATGTACATAATGTGATTCATTCTATCATCTCTTACTTTTAAATGTCTCTCTCCTCCATTCAATATAAAGTTGTTCCTAGAGTGAGCCATTCTTCTGTTATTAAAACAAAGAGCTTCACCTGGTCTCAATCTGTGAGCCAACTATTAATGACAGATTAATAGTACATGTATATGTAAAAATATTTCAAAGAAGCTAACCTTAGTAGGTGATTCATCAAGCATGGCTGAGAAAGCAATGAATGCTTCGTAATACTCTTCAATCTTATCCTGTAAAATGGATTCTTTGAGTAGCAGCATCTTTTAACATAAAGGTATCACTGACCTCAGTGGCTTGCAGTGGTCCATGATGATGTGGGCAAAAGTTCAGTGATATTATCTATAAATTAATATATATATATACAATTACTGTGAGATGATCATTTAGCTTTACTTCTCCAGAGTTGTCTAAAGTTATGTGCGGTCTGCGCATAAGGAAGGAGACAGGGTTTTCCCTAAAAAAGGTTATATTCTTATTATGCACACATTCCCCTCTTCCTCTCCCCCCTCCCTCTCTCCTTGGATTGCTTTCTCTCCTCTCGTTCTCTCTTTTCTACGTTTCAAGGGTTTCATGTATCCTTTGAACACTGTATGGTATTTCACTCAGCGCCTTAAAGTGATGAGGATACTTGGATCTCAACTTCTGTGCAGTATTATAAAGATCAACCAAAAGTGTCTCGCCACCCGAAACACAATTGTCAAACCTATTAACAAGAGAAAACAGGTAAAAAAATTGTATGAAAACAAGCGTAACAGTGTAAAAATATTCCTATAATTGTTTTCACCACCTTGCAAGTACAGCTGGGCACTTATTAAGACTTATAAAGTTTCTCTCTACCTTTTAATGCTTCTAGAAAAGTCTTTATTTTAAAACTTTTTATTCAAGACTTTTTAAAAAATTTATTTTAAGACCTTTTTTAAAGTCTATGTTCCTTTGCTGTTAGAAAGCTCCCACGTGCAAGCCACCAATTTGTTTGCTGTGGCCACACCTACTTTATGTGAAGGGCGTGGGCGGGTGGTTGCTAAGGCCTTTCAATTTGTCATTTCTCCAATACAACATGTATAGAAGAAATGTAAGTCTTAACATTTATATGCACATTGCACGTGGGTGAAAGTAATTATAGGAACGACCTGGGGGATTCGCCCCCAGGTCATAAAGAAGCAGAGAATGTGAAAAGAAAGAACCTTAAGCAATGAAGAATTTGTACTCCTGGCGGTGACTCAAAGAAATCTTGATCGATATGCCAATTAAGATCATTTGCAGTATAAGCAGCATCAACACTATTAGGTACTGCTATTACATCAAATATCTGCAATGATATATGATCAGATTAAACTGTAAGAACAATACAATAGAAGCATTCCATTGGTATTAAAAAATGTAGTCATCACAAATGACAATTTATTGAATGCCACTTCCTATGTGCTATTATCACAGACATGTGATAGTTAATGTACATGTAGCACTGACTTACAAGTTGATATACATGCTCTTGTGGATTACCAATCTTCTTTATTATCTACAATAATCTGTGAATGACATTGAATTTTACTTGACTATAATACCTGCTCAATATCAATGTGATCTGGTATATTTTGTAACAGCGATGCACCATAGAAATTCATTTGCTTAAGCCACCTAAATCACATTTAAGGAATACTAGTAAATGCAAGGTTGAATGATGCATCAAAAGGTCATTAATTTTGTTGTTAAATTTTGTTTTAATTCTGTATTGAATTTAAGAATATACATACAACAACTCACTCATATAATCCTTCATCACTTGACATCATGTCAGTACAGTCAAT